TTTACTACTCCCCAGTGCGAATGCACCGAACCTGCACAAGTGCACGTTCGCCACGGAAAAGAACATGATGACATTTATGACATGGCAGGGCCAAAGGTCAAACCCTAGGGGGTCCCGAGGCCAGACCAAGCGCGCCCGATACAGTGTGCCTTATTTAACCCAAAGGTCAAAGGTCAAACCCTGGGGGAGTCCCGGGGCCAGACCCAGCACGACCGACACAGTGTGCCTTATTTGGCCCAAAGGTCAAAGGTCAAAAAGTGTGCCAGAACCCGCCCCGCACTTACTACTATGCGTAGATCTTGTCTTTGGCGAGAACTCTGAACCCTAGTTGTACGAGTGCATCGCAACCCGCATTTTCAGGCAGTGCGCTCGCACGCATTGCAGACAATGGACCCACGCATTGCGCATTGCGAATGCGAAACATAGTACTAAATGTACTACAAAAAATGCAGTACAGACTACGTTTTGTACTCCCCCGCCACAAATTCATGGTCAGACATGAGGCCAAGGGAAAAGTGACCACGCGTGTGAACGGCCCCACTCAGTTGCCCGACGGTCTGAACTTTTACCTTGTCCCGTGACCTCAGGTTTTCCCGTGTGTGTGAATCCCCTATTACTTTACACGTACCTCTCCTGCCCTGAATATCAATAACTCGGATGTCCGTGCTCCGAACCCCTGCTCCGAGAAGCAGCTTGACGAAGAAGGCATGGTCCTCTGACGCAAGATCCTTACTAAGGTTGATGCAGCACCTCCTGGAGGTACTGCTAGACATACTTGGGACATAAGCTAAGAAAACCGCAGAGCACTCTCAAATGGAGCGCACAGTAAAAAACTCGGCGACGAAGAACGCTTCGTATCGACGCTCTGGACTGAATTCGGCACGTCCAACAAACGGAATAGTGTTCTCTGATATATTCTCTACGTGCTGGGTATGGTCGCGTTTAGTTGGAAGCTCAGTGCATCACCACTTTCGATTTAGAGACTTGGCCGATGGACTACTGTACGTAGACTCTACTCTGTAGACATGTACTTTACTCTCAGTCCATTTCAAAACTATAGACGCGTACCTAGGAAAAAACCGTTATGCCTGCATCTATACCACATAAAATCTGTGATCACTTTGTGCATAAATTTTTCCAAATTGGGCGTCTGTTATCCAATCTGTTAGAAAATATATGAGAGTAATTGTGGAGCGGACCTGAGCAATATTCCGAAAACTATTCTCAAAAAGCTCCAGCCAAATTTGAAATATTTCAAAAACCCTACGCGTCTATAGTTTTGAATTGGACTGTAGTCTGTAGTCAACCCGCACGCCCGCTCCAACCGCCAACAGTCCATCACGGCCACCTACCGGAAGCATGAGGCCGAGAAAAGGCGCGCGTACGAAGAACGCGTCCGGGAAGTTGAACACGCGTCTTTTTCTCCCATTGTGTTCAGCGCTTCCGGCGGCTACGGCAAGTCCGCCTCCGCTTTTTTCAAGCGTGTCGCCTCTATGCTCGCCGACAAGAGAAAGGAGCCCTTCTCCTCACTTCTTGTCTTTATTAGGTCAAGGGTTTCCTTTTCTCTTGTTCGTGCCTCCAATGCCGGCCTCCGTGGTCACCGCAGGCCACGGTCTCAAGATGATCACCAGCTCCAACACCAGCTGCTTGCATCTGTCCCGCTGGCATTAAAGCGCTCGTTCCCACACTGCAGTATTAGTGACTGGAACTCCCTCCCCGCCGCTCATCTGTCCCAGCCTCCTCACAGCAAGGGAATACAAGCATTCAAAACTAATGTTTATCGCCATCTGCGAAGCACAAACTGGCTCTGGGCAGTCGACTCGCTATGATGATGCTCTCGTCGTTCTCCTCTATCCCTATCTATGCACCACAACTGGCTCAGACAACCGACTCACCATGATCAGCCATGATGATGCTCCTCTCAGTAACAGCCCTTGTAATTTGTTAATAGTCTCACAGTTTCTCCCGCACACTCGCTGGTGTTAACCCTTAAGGCCTTCCTTTCTTTTCATTTTGCTGACTCGTACAGCTCTATCTTTTGTTTTTGGTGCGTGTTTTTGGCCGTGATGCCGAGACCTCAGGTCGGCAGAGCCATCAATGCCCCACCATCACTGCTGCGTCTCGCTGCAGCCCCTGCTCAATAGTTGTCACGTTCGTCCTAGTCTCAGTATCATTGTCTTTCTTATTATTTTCGAGCTGGGAATGTGAACATAGTAAAAAAAAAAAAAAAAAAAAAATGCCCGCCAGAGAGCCATTGACTCTGATGCTTCTGTGGTCCTTGCTGCTGCAGAGTGCTTTCGGTAACTATCCGTGGTGTGTTTGGCTAGTGTTCTGCTTCATTCCCCCCTTTTTCATGATTTTGCATGTTATCATTTTCTCGGATTCCGGTTTTCCACTCTGTTATGTTCGAATCCATAGTCTGTCTACGTCTGTACATGATTTGTACGCAACTTCTCATTGTTTTTTTGTTCGTTTTTTTGGTTTTTTACCAGGCGTGGGCCATCCCCGGCCTGATGCATAGGTGCCAAACATTTTGCGATCAAATATGGAGGTAAAAAAAAACAAGAAGTAAAGACAAAAAAAACTAGTCTGTAGTGTGTACAATCAACACCAGCTCGAGCACCGTACCGTGCAACCGCTTTTGGACAATCGTTTCAGGCCGCGCGCACCCCGAGCCTAGTCTAGCTCGACCCGGCGCCCTGCCTATTATTTTTCGAAACCTAGGTCGAAATTTTTGAGGGGGGGGGGGGGGGCGCGCCCCCCCCCCTCTCTAAACCCGCCACTGATTGCCTGGATGAAGTCGAAGATGACGAGCAACAGCTCAAATGCAGTTCAAGCAGACCGTACATCGAACGCAAAGTAGTAGTACCCGTGCCAGCAAACGCAGCGCGAAGCAAGCTGCAGCTCACGTGGAACCCAGCAGCGCCGTATCACGTACTGGCCTCAGTTCAAGCGCGGATCGAAAGCCCCAGGGAAGCGGTGGCTTGGCAAAGGCAGAGTGTTCTGAGTCACAGCCCAAGACAGATGTGACAGATTCCAAGTCCCAGACAGATGTGACAGAGTCCAAGCCAATCTTCCATGTTATTGAGGATGACTCATGGAAGCTTGTCTCCTCAGAACGACCCAAAAACAAGCGTGCTGTGGTGTATGTGGGCAATATCGCCACAGATAGCACTGAGAGCCACTTCAGGCAATTTATCAAAACCAGGAGTGAGTTTCACTATTCCTGTCCACACCTGCAGTGTAGGGCTGTCAGAAAGTGGGCGTGCTTCCGCCAGAGTGACCATCGATGCCACTTCATTCTCCACAGTTACAGCGCCCAAATTCTGGCCAAGATCCCTATACTGCAGGCCATGGAGGTTCTCTGAAACCAGCCCTGAGGGCAGCACCAGCAGTCGCTGCCACAGTAGCAGAAACAGCACCTCTGCCAGTGTTCTGACTAAACAGCAACAGCAACAACAGCAGCCGGGTTCAACGTCCTCCTCCCCGCCGCCACCACCACTGCCTCCACCACCACAGGCAGACATCATCTCCACTCCACTACACAGTGGCCAAAAACGGAGAAACTCCCACCTCTCCCGACCAGAGGCTGGAGACCTGAAGAGATCAAACGGATCTGCGCCACAACAATGACCAGCATGGTGCGCACTGCGCAGCCACCCCAGCAGGATGGCCAGTCCTCTCATGCCCAATGATGGATTCCAGACCTCTGCGACTGCTAGTGACTAATGCATTCAGCCTGAGCAACAAGATAGGTGCCCTGCAGCATGCAATCCTGCAGTATAATGTAGACGTGGCAAAAGTAACAGAAACGAAGCTCTGCTCTGATAATTCCTCCCATGAGTTGACCATCCCAGGATACTCACCCCCTATAAGGAAGGATCGAGATTCCCATGGTGGCGGTGTGGGCTAGGAGTGAACTATCCATTACCCACCACGACGATATAGATTGCCGTGATCACGAGCTCTTGTGGATTTCCCTCGCAATGTACTCCGGAATAAAGACTGTTCTGGGTGCGCTCTACCGGCCTGGCTCTTGTGCAGAGACAGACACCAGCCTGATGGACTACCTAGACAACACTTTGGATGATGTCCGCCATCTTGGCAGCAATGTGATAATTGCAGGGGACTTCAACGTGCATAATTCAGCCTGGCTACAGAGTAGCAAGACTACCCGAGCCGGTGAATGCCTGGAGGAAGTCTGCGCAAGTAGTATAGGATGAGGGGGTTCTGGCTCACCTTCCAGGTGAGCCAAAATCGACTTTCTCGATCGGCCCAAAGGGCCGCTCTCCAAAGTCTCCCCCTCATCCTACACTACTGACAGTCCTGTACTAAAGGATAAACACCCCAAGTACTAATTTTACACCTCCAAGTACTAATTTTACCACTCCAACCACTGATTCCATGTTGGCTCAACCCAGCCCCAGAAAAGTGAGTCAACTTGCTGTCTCCGAGAAAATCGGAAGTGAGCCAACTTGAGCTTTTTCACTTACCCCATCTTGGCTCACTTCGAGGACTGATGTGGGCCAGTTTCTGAGCCAACTTCGGGTGGTCCAGCTTTGGATGATGATCCTAATTATTCTATATTAGAGGAACGGTTGTCATAGGTATAAACAACGATTCTACACAAACTTTCCAAGATGACAAGCAAGAAGCCAACCCCGTTTTCCACAGCTGATGTTCTCACTGACTCCATTGATTGTCGAATTATAATCAAGGATGGGAATAAATGTGGATCACTGACAATCAATGGTAAGGAACCATACATAAAATTCACTGATGAGACAAATATCATGAATGTTGTGAAGAAAGGACAAGAGGACTCTCTGAAATTTTCTTCTAACAGTGACATTTGTAAATCCATCCGTTGTATCGAGAAGAAGATCGAATCCGAAGGAAATACGGTTAGAAGCAGGATTAACACAGCAAAATGCGATCACCCAATCCTGTTTCTCCAAATTTCTCCTGATTGTGCTATCTTTGATGAGGACAACAAACCATCAAAAACCAACAAGATCAAGCAAGGTGACACTATCAATGGTATCGTTCACCTGAAGTGGGTTTACAAAGACAAGACCGATGACACTCTCAGTCTCAAACTTGTTGTTGTCGCTATAAAGCATTTCCAGAAAGAAGAAGAATTGAAATTCTCAGCAAATTATTATTATTATTATTAAAAGCATGTCCGCGTAGGTGGCGGGGGTGCCACTTTCGCTTATGCCATTCAGGATTGATGTCTGAAGAGTAATACGATACAATGAAATGACAGAAGTGACGTCAACAAAAGCCGTTAGCAACAACACAAATATGACTAATGGAAAACTTCATCCAAAGTATAAAATAAAATAGAATATGCATACAACATGTCTGGTCAGTCCTGTTAGGTGGGGCGGGCTCCACGCCATGCCTGTCGGTCCGCTGCCATTGTGCGGACTGCGTCAACATCTAGCGGCTGGTGGAGGGTAAGTCCATGCCATGATAACAGTTCCGTCTGCAAGACCGTTACCAAAGTCGTCCGAGGTCGACCCCTGAAGCGTTCAGTGCCCTCGTCGTTGGCCAGGCGAAGATACATATCCACTGCCAACTGTGGAGGAGCAGTTGGGGCCAAACGAAAGATATGGCCAGCGAGACTGTAGCGCTGCCTTGTGATCATCTCGCTGACGATTTGTAAAAATATAGTCATACATACAATTCACAAAAACAAACAAAAAACAAAAAAAAGTAAAAAATATTTTTTTAGAAGTGAAATCATGAATGTGTGGTTTGATGACGACTGCTCTATAAACAAAGAAGAAGAAGAAGAAGTCATGGATACATGGATAGATGATGAACACTCCACCAGGAAAGATAAGATGATAGCGGACTACATTGACTATAGAAACGAGGTATGGTTTCCTACAGATATAGAATTGATGATTTTGGAAAATGAAGTAACTCCAGAGGATCTTGAGGTGTATGAGATGAAGAAAAATGATCTGTATGATACCGCAATTTACTTCGAAGAAATAGAAAAATCCAATACCAGAACAGGAATCGAAACAAGATTGGAGATAACCCTGAACAAGGTTGGTTTACAAAAATATCTTAGCAAAACCCCATTCAACAATCTTGTTGATGAAATTCAGAGGATCAAAGAAGTAGCAAATAAAAATAAAAAAGTCAAAGTGAGTTATCCATTCCTACTTTCGAAACTCATTGATGATGAAGATGATGTGAACAAGATCAAACCATTCATTCCAAAGTGTAAAAAATCACAACAAAGACATGATACCATATGGGAGAAGTATAGAGAATCGAATGTATAAGAAAAGTAATAAAAAAAATATCTTTTTTTTCTCATGATCACTGGACAAACTGCTTCATCATATCCGGAGCATAACTCATGAATGAAATGCTACTATCAAACCCCTCCTCAGCCAGATATCTTGGTATTTCATGGTGTCCGAACGCTAACGTACTACATCCATCTTCTGTGATATATCGTTTTGTGTCCAATGGTGATAAAGCTATCTTATTAACTGTTTCTCCGAAAATGACGTGTCTATGACTCCGGAGTGTTGTCATTTCTCGATGGAACACGGATTGATCCAAGAGACAATTTCGGAAATCATCATGTGTGATAGTTTTCTTGAGCACTGCTGTTTTCATCCCCTTTGCTCTTTTTCCACTTTCCTCACCAGAGTAACTGTACATCTTGGAGTGAAGTCCTACAAACTCAGTGATCAGTTTTCCACCGAGTTCATCTTTGAACAGACCAACAACTTTCTTGTTTTTCTCGGAATATAACGGATGTGATTGATCATAATTGCTTGTATCATACTTATCAAGAAACTCACTCATGTCATCAAACAGATCATCAGTGAAGAAATGAAGAACCAAGCTGTCTGTATCGGTGTACAAGAGTTTCACATCAGAGCCATACATCACTTTCAGGTGATTGTAGTAAAAGTCATACATGAGTGTCTTTGAGAGATCCAAAATCGACATCCCAACCTATATGGGCTTGTTGAGGACGACCTTTGTCCTGTTGCTTTGTAACCGACCAGGTCATCGTTGAAGATCACACGGCGGTTGTACGTTGGTTTGGCAACAAGCTGTTTGATTTTTTTCTCCTCACGACTTCTCAGCAATTTTATTTTGACTCTCCTCCGAACGTTCTCCATAGTTTTCCCAAACACCGCATTGTTCATCAGTTTATAGAAGTCTTTGGAGAAATCATCCTTTGCCTTCTTCCGGAGGTCTGTATTCTTCTCGATGTAGTTTCTCATCCACGGTTTCTGAGTAAATTTCAGAGCACGATGAATTTTGACACAACGTAGTCCGAGCTGAGTGTAGAGTTTCAAGTTTCGGTAATGGAGAACGTACTCTGTCTTGTCCCTCAAGTTTGGTACAAGTTTGAGAGCATCTACTCCGGAAGAATTGAGTCTATCAACAAGCTCCTGCTGATATGGAGATAGCATGTCCTCATTGACGGAAAGACGTTCCGGAGCAACTGGATAATCGTTGTGCTCCTCATGAAGTTCGTATGGATATTCCAGATCACACTCGACGATATACCCCGATGAGGAATCATCTTGAGTATTCAGGATCTTGTACAGGAGTTTCTCTGATGGTTTCTCCCACTGAAAATCAGACACTGGGAGATGCTGTGACATTGCCCAACCATAGAGATTGTTGGCATCGAGATACTGGATAAATGACGATGGCTGATCAACATCAAATTTCTCCTGATAGTGATTATTAGCAGCAGCATATCGTTGTGAGACCATCGACACACCACCTCTCATTCCTGATTCTACAAACAAGTGCTGATCATAGTCTGTTAGTAATTCCAAGGACACACCTGAGTACATTAACAGAGCATCCCAGGCAAATCCAGGCAGAGTGTAGTAATTTGCTGGATCCAGCTGATACGTTCTGACAGCTTCTACTCTGAAATTCTCAAAGATGTCAGCCAAGAGAAACACGTCAGTCTTGAGATACAAGTCGTGATAATCACCAAGAGTCTGACAGTCGAATTTCATCCACATTGTCTCAGCATGTTTGTAGTCATCGTCACTCACCCCCTCATCAGACAGTGAAGAATAGAACTTACTCTGTGCTGGTAGCTGAGTCTCATCGAACCTGGAGAAGCTGTTCATGTATTCATAGGGGTATACCCCTTTCCTCATCAACAGCTGATGGTTTGACAACGTCTTGGTGTGAGTGAATGACTCATCTGGTATCGTTTTCACAAGTCTATCGAGTGACGCATTGAGAAACTGGCAGCTGTCGATGAACCGGAACTGTCTCCATGTGAATGAGATGAATTTCTCCATGTTGTTGGGAATGACTGATATCTCACCCACAGTTTTACTCTTACATACACCATCCTTGTTTGTGTATGTGACGGTCTCAACATCTGTCTTTCCGATTGCTCCGATGAGATGATGACAATCATAACCTTTCAGGTTGTGAAAAACCACAGGGATGTGCTGCTTGTATGGAAAAATTCTCAGTTTGATGTTACAGTCATTGTGTGCGGCACCGCGGAAATCACCAGTGATATGGTCGTGATCACGGACTCTATCATCACCAAGTTTCTTTTTACAAATCCAACAGTCTTCCGTCTCTCTGAACAATTTTTCTTGATCCTTAGTGAGGTCCATCGGTGCTGGATTATTGAGTGCTGATTGGATTTTCTTCTCCTCAACTTTGAGTTTATCAAAGAATACATCCATAGCATCAGCACCCCGGTAGAAACACTGACTTGTCATCACTCCGTCAGAACGCACCACGACATAACCAAAACCACAAGGAACATGCTGTGAATCCCGGCTGGTTTGTTGGCTTTTCACTCCATCAATTTTCTTGATCAGTGCTTCAGTGTCAGCATAGATGACATAGGGACATTGTAGCATTTTGTGATGATTAATGAACTTCAGTATTGGTGGATTTCCATCTTCGTCCGGTTCTGGTAGTACCATATGTGCTGATAATCCACTGACATTATCACAATACTCCTGATGGTTGCTCATGGATTTCTCTGTGTTGTGTGGATGGAGACACCTTGTACAGAAGAATTTCCTGGCTTTATGCTTTGACTGATCGTAGCACAATCTGCTGAAATCTGTAATCCAACAGTAGTGATTCTGATCTTCTTTTTGGTAGAGTAGAAGATTGATCACTTTCTCACCTCTTTTCTTTGTCAGCAGTAGTGGATAGATCACGTTATCCTCATACCCAAAGACATTGATAGCTAGACTGTTTTGCTTCTCGACTTTGGAAATTTGACTCAGTGGTGTTGGAAAATCGATTCCGAACAGATCAAGTTTGTTGATATAGTCTGTATACTGAGTTACCCTGTCACCATTTTTTCTTTGCTGGATACATAGCTGAGAGCAGTGCCCATATCAGACATTTATCATCTTTATTCTTGACATTGATGATTGCCTTCTTTTTCTTGAGGTCGTTCGGTAAATCAATGTAGGATTTACCTCTCATTGGCTGATATGCTGCTACATCAACGTAAAATCCAACGATATGATTGATGTGCCAGTTTGATCCATTCTGTATCCACTTATCGATATTTCTATGAATTTGTGTGTGTGCCAATCGAATACCATCATCAATCTCATGAGATGCTGGGACTGTCATTGGTCCACTCCTGAAGTATGGTGTGTCTGTGGTTGTTATGTCATCTCCTTTCTCCATTTCTACTTTTAGTGTCAGACTGACTTTCACACCTTTGAGATTTTCCAGTTCTTTCTGTATCAATGTTCTCAGTGGGGTGTTGATACTGTCAAAGAATATATACAGATCTGGATGATTCTCTTTCGGTTCATAGATGAACGATTTCAGAATCCCTTTGGGTACTGACTTTGAGATTGTGAACGGTGGTGTGACAATCGGATTCCTCTTTCGATTCTTCCGAATCCGTTTCTTGAGAAGTTCCCGATTCTTTCTTTGCTCTAATTTTTTATGGATCCACCGGAGTTGTTTCTCAGTCTTGAGTTTCTTCCCATCATAGGTGATAGTGAGTTTGCTTAGGTCAAATTCCATCTTTACACTACACAAGGATTTTTTCAATCAGTGATAGCATTACTGTAGAATCACTACCCTCTAATATACATTAAAATCATGCATAGGATACTAGTAGATCCTTTGACTATGCTTTTCCAAAACATAAGGTTGTGGTTTCAAGTTCTTTATTCATGTTGGATAGGTATGAGAAGAACATGATATATAATATATTACTCTCATAACATAGTGATGAATACGAGGATAAATAATGATCAAGCTGACTAGTGTTCATCATCCGGTAGACGTAGAGCATGATCAAACAGCAAACGGAGATTAACCACGGATATCACAGCTAGCGAATATCGATCTCATCTTCTTCCTCATTCTGAGCTAGGGAGGTCTGGAAGTTGGATCTAGCGCTTTGCATTTCTTTTTCAGCCGCGAGCGCTTCCAGCTTGAGTGCGTTTACGTCTTGATTAGCTCGTAACTGTCTCTCAACAGCAGCCACCAATTTCTTCTTAGTTAACTTTTTCCTTTTCTTAGATGCTTCATACGCTCTTTGTGTGTGTATCACACTTAAGGGTACTTGACTAGAACTTGACTTAATCTGCGTATCCATATCAGCTTTCAACCTGAATCGAAATCTCGGAATATAGAGAGTATGAACGACCGCGCTAGTGCTTTTATAGACATTATACGAACCATCAAAAGTACATAAACCAGAGTGTGCAACTGTGCATATCACATCTGAAACAGCGCAGTTCGTGCACTACGTCACCCTGATGAGATCAGCCAAGCCGCGACTTGCGTACAGCTCAAATTTTCATGTTTCATAGCCCGGAAATCAGCCAAGGTTGCTTGATTTTAGACGTCCTGTTTCAGGATTTCGGTGTTTTGTGTGACTGTGTACGCTGCGTACATCCACCGACAAGTAAAGTCACCAGGATATCCGTCTCAAAAAACCGAAATCAGGACAAACTCAGTGAACTGCACCACCGCGACTGGTTACGCAACTTTTCACCGTACCTGTGGCTTACCATGCCGTCAGAAATGACGTAGTGCACGGATTACGCTCCCACAGGAACCATCCCGAGTTGCACACTCTGGTTTATGTACTCTTGGTACCATCAAGAGTACATAACCGGTTATGTACTCTTGGTATCATGATACGGAGATTGAGTCATCATGACATCATGGTTGTAGATTGACTCATGCCATGTAATTGTTATCATAACATCATGGTTGTACCATGATACGATAGATAAGAACAACCAAGAACATCCACGAACATCCACGAACATCCCGAACAACCATAACCAAACACGAACAACCGTGAACCATACATGAATCATGCGTACGCGCGTGCGCACGCCACGAACAACCGTGAACCATACATGAATCATGCGTACGCGCGTGCGCACGCCACGAACAACCGTGAACCATACATGAATCATGCGTACGCGCGTGCGCACGCCACGAACAACCGTGAACGATCACGACATCCCTGTGGGAGAAACTAATCGCCCAAGATTCCTCCCTAGATGGCACCGCGGCGCAAGTTCTTCGCATGAAGGCAGAGGTACGTACGACTTTACGAACCAACCTCCTGGCAGCCGTGAAGTCTTTCAAGGATGGTGCTGGAGCAGAGCTTGAGCTGCAATTGACCCTAGCTTCGGAGAAGGGGGCCTCCAGCTGGCTGACTTGCCGCCCTCTAGCCATCCATGGATTTCGTTTGTCCAAGGCGGAGTTTTTATTATTATTATTATTATTATGAAATGACCCAAAGGCAATGTGCCTATCGAGGGGTTCATTTGATTGAAAGAACAGTAGATGTAGATGTATGTACAAAGAGAAGTAGGGATTGATGAGGAGAGAAATGGGGAAAATCAACTGCAAGGTGGCGGAATTCCGTTGATTGCATAAGCATAGTCAGCTGTAAATTTCCTGAGGGCAGCTTTGAACTTATAGAGCGAGGCTTCCGATGTTAGACTGGGGGGTAAACAGTTCCATAGAATAGCAGTTCGGAACATGAAGAGAGACTTAGACAATGATTTAAATTCGGGAAGAATGATTTTATTTGGTCGTCGCTCACTATTCGTAATCTTGAAATGGAAATCAGCAAGGTAATCACGATGATGGAAAACATATCTGTGAAAAGTAGTGAGACTGATGATTTGACGACGATAGGCTAGTGACTCTAGGGAGCATTTAGAATTTAAGACAGATTTGGAAGAAGTGTAATCAAATGCAATTTTTTTTCTTTTTCAGTAGAGCTCTAGCAAACCTTGCCTTTAATTGATCAAGAGTGGTCATGGGTTTCGTATTAGATCCAAACGACCACACCGTACAGCTATATTCGATCACAGGTCTTACGAACCCTTTGTACAGTATGATCATTGCCGAAGGCGTAAGTTGCTGGGACATAATTGACAGTAGGTGCACTCGATATCTGAACTTCGAAGTTATTGAGGCGACATGTTTGCGGAAATCCAGGTTGTCGGTCAAGGTGATGCCAAGATGTTGCAGTTCAGAAACCACCGTTAATGGCTCATTGTACATTTGGTATTGGATTCCTGCAGTAGGTGTATCATTGATAGCTCTATGGCACAGCACGGATGTCTTGCTTGCTGAGAATTCACCTCCATTGTTCCTGCCCCATGTTTGACATGCATCGAGATCAGACTGCATGTTCGCTCTACTGGCGAGGGTGTCTTCAGGTTTGTAAGCCAGTAGGAGGGTGACATCATCTGCAAATAGATATTGCGTGCAATGTTGCATAGCGTTGGGCAGGTCATTTATATAGAGTAGGAATAGGAGTGGTGAAAGGTTTCGCGATGCCCTCTGTCTCCGGTACGGGTGGACACCAGCACGCCTGCCATCAGGATGCGTCTGTGGCCATGGTAACTTTGACGTCACCCATGCCTTGTCCTGCAGTACTGGGGGATTCCCCAGTATTCGACACAATGAAATTCGAGACCTCACGGCTGATGTTCTGCGTCAGGTCACGCATGGTGTGTGCACAGAACCGATGCTGCAGCCAGTCACCGGAGAGAAATTCCGGCTTCTGTCCACAACGACCGCTGATCAGGCTCGTCTTGATGTTGCCGCCAACGGAATCTGGGGTGGCCGATTTGAGCGCACCTTTCTTGATATAAGGGTTTTCAACCCCTACGCTGCCTCAAATCGCGCTGCCTCAGTTTCCTCAGTGTATGCACGTCATGAAAAGAAGAAACGCCGGAGATATGAGCAGCGTCTGCTTGAGGTTGACCGCGCCACGTTCGTGCCAGTAGTGCTGTCAGCCACTGGTGGCACTAGCAAGTGTGCATCGGCCCTGTTCAAGCGTCTTGCCAGCATGCTATCTGACAAGCTAAAGGAGCCGTACTCCGTGACGATGGCATGGCTTCGCTGCAAGCTAAGCTTTGCATTAGTCCGAGCTAGCGTGATGTGCCTTCGTGGGGCAAGATCATCATCCGCACACCGTGTCACCAGGGACCCCGCGTCTGTAGTGGTAGCCGAGGCACGTGTTTCCTTGCAGGACTGTTGAACTAAAGTCAGACATGTAATGTACATTTTTGTCTAGAGGTCTAGTCATGTACTTGTCATGATTCTTTTCTATTTTTATTCTTTTTACCAGGCGTGGGCCATCCCCTGGATTATCAAAATGGGTGCCTTATTATTTTCTCCTTTTTTTTTCTTTTTCTGTTTCTTCTTTTTACCAGGCGTGGGCCATCCCCTGGACTATCAAAATGGGTGCCTTATTATTTTTCTGATTTTCAAAATATAGTGGGGCTGTTAAGTGTGACGTCACGGCTCCTTCGATACGCATAGCAACGGAGGGCAGTGGGGACAAACAAAAGTCGCGTCCTCTGGATGGAACCAGATGTCAAGGGCAACAGCATCTAAATGACTGGAGAGACAGCAGTTTTTCTTTGCATTTTCTTCAAGCGATTGTTGTCGCTCTTTACTCCTTGTTCTTTCCTCTACAAAACTCCTGTAGTCGTCGAGTGCCTTCATGATGGCTGTGAAATTGGCTGCCTACAGTAAAACTCCGTGTTTGAGAGTGCTTTGAAGATGTTTCGCGTCCTGATGGATCAAAGTATGAGCGCTCCTTGTGGATTCGATTATATATAGGTGAGTTGTTCAAGAAATCAGTGTCTTTTTTCTGTCTCTGCCCTCACGCTGGCACAATATCAGCCTCTATATCCATGACAGCTCGCACCTCCCGTAAACTGCATGACTTAGATATATTTTCACCCTCCGCGGTGATTGAAGACCCATGGAAGAAGTTATTATGTTCAGAATGATGTCCTAAGAATATAAAATAAAATAATTCTAGGGAATTGTCATAGGGTATTTTTGGAAGGATGGAGACAGAGAGAGAGAGAGAGAGAGCACTTTTTGAAGTGTTTGTCTCACTGTAATTACTCCAGATTATTGAATGTTGTATGATCTACTCTATATTTTCCACAATGGTTTTTCCTGATTTGCTGTATCTCTTCTTTTGCTGTTTGCGTGTTTACAGGAAGTGGCTGTCTGGTGTAACTGCACCAGATCCTGGGGAAATTGAGTCAGATGCAGATGCAGGGTCGTCCAGTGATGCAACACTTGCCGTTCTGTGTGCAGCGTTACCGCTAATACCCCCGGCGAAAACACAAAAAAGACAAACACGTGAAAAGACTACAGTATTGACCGTTCTGCTAATAAATGCATGACTGCTCCGACAGTCGATAATCGAAACACAGAGCACCAGCATGATGTTTTCATATTGGGAACCACACAACACCTCAATTCTCAAGCCCAAAAAATTGATGAATACAAATACAGAGCGACGCAACAAGAGATCATCCGGCAAACAAACAAACCTGGGTCTAATGCACTAAATAGTCCTGAAATACGCAGGCCAGACAAAGCAGTGCAAGCACATAATGTTACAAGGTACATGCATTGCAGAACAAAGTGTAACCAAAGATACACAGGGTTACAGCTGCACACTTGTGCATGTGCTCGCTCAGCCCAAGAGCACACGATCATGATGATAGAAACAATCCGGGGGAAACACGCTAACACCGAAGTAAGCATCAACACGTAAATAGTGCAACTCTGAAAAAATTACATTGACATGTACATTGGTGTGTCGAGTAGTATCAGGCTTGAATAATCATCCAACCAAGACGTCACCAGGTCCCAGACGCTGAGATCGCACGCCGAATGTGAAGTGCATCTAGCCTTGAACCTGTCGCTCAAGGCACACATATATGGCAAAATGACATCCACTCTGATTATTTCCAGAGGCCAATCATGACAGAACACAGAAATGAAACCACGGGCTCAACCAAGTAAACGCAAAGGAAGTTAGTCAAAATAATCCATGCAGTGCTCTTTTAATTGCAGCGCTGATTGCAGTGTTGCGTCATAGCCCGATACCCGCTGAGCACAGACACAACTCCATTCGTCAGGGGCAAGACATACTCTTTTTGAATAAAGTCATAAAGTACAGCGTTCCAATGACATTATGGACAACTCGTGCAAATGCATGGTCTGTTCATCTGGCCGACTTGGCCACGCATGAGAGTGTGTGCATGTACATGCGCGCGCAACACACACCATGTATCCGGTGCGTATGGTGTACCAGTTGCGGGACAATGAAGATGGAATCATTATCATGATGTTACATGTAAATCTACAGTGAATGTTTGAGTGTAAAGTAAATTTTTTTTATTGCACATTTCTTCGACACAACTAATTACTTACTTCACATGTTCGCATTTCTCATAATCGATCCACCTGCACTCCGTATCAGTCGAGGAAAAATTCTCCCAGATATTCACTAGTCACCACAGCCATGTGATGACATTGGGATGGGCCCCAAGCACGATTGCACTCTCTAGTTACAATAAATTTAGCCAGATTATCTGTGAAGACAAAATGCAATGCATAGCGGCAATCGATGGATGAAGAGAGAGTTTGTAAATACCTATCTTTCCACTTGTTCAGGAGCTTACCTTTTGGAGTTCATATCGTTTACACGATCTCTCATGCTGTCTTGCACCTTGGTTTTGTTGACCATGGATACGCCATCCCAGAAAACATTCTACAGGAGCTACTAATGCAGAGCGTTTTTCACGCTCGATCTCGGCGATCTACCTTGTCACGCCAATAAAATCCTCCGTGACACTGGCTACAGTCACAAGAGACGTCTCAGTAAGGTAATGAGCACGACAACATCGTCGAGATCAAGGACAAAGAGAAAACAAAACACTCACTGAAAACAGCAAAGAAGAAACGAAGAAATGTACACGATTCCTATATGTTGCCACTGACAACTGGTTCGGTGGAGACGACGCTACTTTTGTTTGTCCCCAGTGGGATCGTTGTTACGCGTATCGAAGGAACTGTGACGTCATCACTTAACAGCCCCATACACAGCAGGTCAAAAAAAAAAAAAAACGAACAACCGTGAACCGGAACCATACATGAATCATGCGTACGCGCGTGCGCACGCCACGAACAACCGTGAACCATACATGAATCATGCGTACGCGCGTGCGCACGCCACGAACAACCGTGAACCATACATGAATCATGCGTAGACCCGGGTGCTGGAATCAGAAACGATTTGACAGGTGTGGAATTTCTCATCTGTAAATCTCAACAATGTCAGAATATACTTTTGGAGAGGCGATGGAACAGGGAAGAGAGTCTGGCTTGACCCACCCAGCAGGAATTCAGAACCTGGGTGCGCTACAACACAAGCTACAGTACGCAGTAAAATGGTCGTATTTCCTTCGGATTTTTTATTTGAAAATTGGGGGCTCGAATCAGAAACAGCAAACTCGTCAGATCGTCTCCGATTCAAGCACACGGGTCTACCATCGTCTACGCTTGGTGTGGCAGTTGAGGGCAGGTAGTAGTAACTTACTACTTCGTTTTTGAGAGCAAGATGGTCAGTGGAGCCGCAGATTCAGCAGGTCTTTGGCAGCACCGTACAGGAGACCCACATCCTCGAATCAAGGACCCAGCAAAAAGTGGGTCGCGAGTATTTCAAAAACCGTTTACCGGGCAGCTCTGAAATTTGGCATACCGTTAGCGGGCCGTATGTTGATGGTATTTGTGAAAACTAAACGAAATCGGAACAAGTTTAGGTACAATTTCAGGCTGTTTCTGTTTTGGTACCCTGTGTCTCATTCGAGCACCCGGGTCTACGCGAGTGCGCACGCCACAAACATCCACGATTATGTCATACTATAATGAGGTGTGCTTTGAGCAATGAATGAGTTGCTCAACCCGTCAGTGTCATGTGACCGCCCGGATTCCCCAAAAATGGGAAATCTGGGCATTCCAGGGGAATCTGCCCAGATCAAGCTCATGAAGCAGATTTTTTTTTCTACAAACAAATCTGCTGCTGTGATCTGTGATCACAACCAGCTGAGTTGATCAAACGGGACCCAGCTGTCGAATCTTACCGAGTAGCCTTTCCACCTCACAAGGGCTTGTTTCTTCTTGTTGTCCCTTCGGTGCACTTTCTCGATCCGGTAGATTTCTTGAGTAGTTTTCTGGAGCTCTTGTTCATAGAACGACCCATCAACGGGTTCACCATCGAGGTCCTTGACAGAGTACGTAGTGGGTCTGGTCGGGAGAATATCGGTGATCCTGAATACCTCCTCAGTCCAGTTCGGAGTGTATCCTTTCTCGAAATGTCGTTTCTGCTTCACCAGTCGGACGTGGTCATCTATCTGGAATTTAGTGGACCTGGATAGTGGAGATTTCTCACCCAGTGAGTCACGGATTCGATCAGCGTTCTTCTCCCGTGATGCCTCAGTTGGTGTCATCCGAACACCTCTGTGTTTTGTCGTGTTGTACTTCTCTACCAAATGTGGAAGGACATCGATGTACCTGCTGGTAGAGTTAGCACTGAAGTATTTCCACATCCTGGTTTTCAGAGTTCGGTTGAAACGCTCAACTACAACAGCCTTTCCTTCGTTGTGAGTGCTGTACATCGTGATCTGATTCTCATCAAGCCAGTGTTTGAACGTTCGATTATAGAACTCGGTACCCTGATCAACCCACAGCTTACGTGGTTTCCTGCTGCTGGTTTTCACAATGGATCGAAATGCTGATTGGATGTCAACACCTTTCTTGGATTCGAGCGGAACAACCCAAGCATATCGGCTGAACAGATCAATGACAGTAAGCAGAAATTTGATTTCATCATTGTATTTACGAAAAGCTGTCATATCCACGAGATCGGCGGACCAGATTTCATCAATCTCACTCACAGTCACTTGTCTCCTTGTGAAATTCACACGCTTTGGCTTGTGTAACTCATCAGCCAGATCATCAGTCCATTTCGTATCTATCTTTTTTTTACTCCTAAACCTATCATCTTGAACAAACCAGACAGGAATCCACCTTCTCTGATTTCCGATTTCTTGATAAATTGTGAACACGATCGACCACATACTGAGCATTTACCCTTGACATATGGTTGACCAGTTGATGTGACTTCTCCTTGTATCCCTCTCATCTGTTGCTTTTTCTTACACGATAGGCAATGAACATTCATCTTTATCTATCTATCTACTTTTTATTTCTCATGTATACAAAGATGTTTCAACAATCCCATATTTTCACAGTGATCTTCCAAGCTCTCATCAATCCTATCAACACAAACAAGTCTGAAATTTCCATTATCCATCTTGTCAAGCTCAGCTTTTGTCAATGATAGAAAAATCTGTGGATTTATGGTAAATATGTGGATGTTGATCGTGTCATGCTCCTGATCATCTTTCGTGAGATCCAAACTCACCCCCAGAATATTTCCACGGAAATGTGGAATGTTGGAGAGAGAATATCCAAACCCAACTGTCCCACGGCAGATTATGTGATACATTTTCATGTTTGTCTATCTATCTTTTTTTCTTTCTTTCCACCCATGTCACCAATTATGTTATCTAAACTGTTCATACTATAGGGTAAGATCCAACAAGTTTGATAGAATTTGTAAAATCAATTACCTACAACGATGGCTGCGTCTTTTCCAAGTGACTATTTCTCCTATGAGGACTTTGACTATGAACCTGATACTCCTGATCGTGGTGATCCTTGGGAGGATATGGAATCATTTATTAATCACATTGATGTAAGTGAAGATGAGATGATTGATAGAATAATGATGGATGATTCAATGACCAGTGATTTATTTGATGATGTGTTTGAAA